AAACGTTATCTTCTTGTTTTCAGTTTTGCTATTGTTGACAGCTTCATGTGATAAGATTTTTTTTCTTTCTGGAATCTTGTAGACACTTCCGTTTGACTTCAGTGTTTGAAATTTCACAATAATATGCTATGGTATGGGTTTTTTTGTTGTTGTTGTTTTTTGTTTTAATTTATCCATTGTGCTTGGATGAAAAGTTCTGTTTACTTTTGTCCTTCACTTTTAGGAATTTTTCTCGAATTATTTTGTGGTTTTTTTTTTTTTTTTTGAGACACCACACTCAGCTAATTTTTTCATCAAATTTTTTTTGTAGAGATGGGGTCTTGCTGTGTTGCCCAGTCTCATAATTTTTATTTTTAACCACCCCTTCTTTTGTTTTTGGAGACAGAGTTGTGCCCTGTCACCCAGGCTGGAGTGCAGTGGTGCGATCTCAGCTCACTGCAACCTCAGCTTTCCGGGTTCAAGTGATTCTCCTGCCTCTTCCCAAAAGCTGGGATTACAGTTGCACACCGCCACGCCCAGCTACTTTTTTTTTTTTTTTTTTTTTTTGTAGAGACTGGGTTTCACCACATTGGACAGGCTGGTCTTGAACTACTAACCTCAGGTGATCCACCCACCTTGCCTTTCCAAAGTACTAGGATTACAGGTGTGAGCCGCCACACCTGGCCAAAGCCCTACACCTTTTTATAATTTGAATTTCCTCTCCTGGCCTCCTGTTCTTATTTTATGGATTTCATATCTTAACATTTTGAGAATATAAATTATATATATATATATTGGCTCCAAGGTATTTTGTTTTCCTTTTGTGTTTGCCTCTAGGAATTTCTGGAAATCCATCCTGTTTGTTCATATTTAAGAGTCAGGTACTGAAAAGCTGATTGAAAGTTCAGCTCTGTGTGAAGGGCAAAATTTGTAAAGTGTTTAATGTTACTGTATGATGACCCAGCTGGACACATTTGATTGGGAGGCCCCATCTATGATATCTTTTGTGTTTTCTCTGTGGGAGATGGTCAGCTACCTCAGAGAGGAATCTTTTCTCCTACCTGGCCTGTATACAGGTCTGATTGCTAGTGTTTGAAGAGACAGGTGGAAAAAGAGAGTCTAGGATCTTACCATTCAGTAGTTAGATTTTTTTCTCTATTTTCATTTTTTCCCGACCCCTGTGTTTCTGGTTCAATTGTGACAGAGAGTAAACATCCAGTCTTTAGTAGTTTGGTGTGGGCTAGTCTCTGATTAGCCTGGGATAGAGGCTCTAGAGATCTGTGTACTCTTTATACAGACTTTTGACCAGTCCATCAATTATCAGCATTATTTGCTGTCAGTGCCTCCAGTTCATGATTTTTTTTCTGATTCTGTGGAGAAAGCCTATTCCTGGTTTTCTGACCACAGTCTGGTCTTCTAAATTACTTACTACCTATTTTTCTGGTTTCTAGCTTCCAAAATTTTGTTTCTTTTGTGTCCTTTCATTTGTCCTCATGGGTCCATGAGTTTAAAAATAAAAATCCTTTTTCTGTAAACATAGTAAACCTAGTTTCTGAGGAGGCAGCAGTAAATATGTGTGTTCACATGTATTTAACCACAAGTCCAAATATTTTTTTTCTACTATTCCATTACCCTGCTGTTGGTTCTCTAGCCTTTATTTTTGGGCAAAAATGGCTTCACTTTCCAAGCTGAAAGAAACATTTTAAAATTACTGCATTTAAAAAAATAAAGAGGGGGTGGGGCTCAGTGGCTTACACCTGTAATCCCTGCACTTTGGGAGGCTTAGGTGGGTGGATTGCCTGAGGTCAGGAGTTCGAGACCAGACTGGCCAACATGGTGAAACCCAATCTCTACTAAAAAATACAAAAAATT